AGAGAGAGAGAGTATAGATAATATACTTGTTTTGAGAAGAGTCTCGCTTTGTGCTGTTTCCAGGCCTAGGGAGTGTGGCGTTGCGTCGCCTAGCCACAGCATACGCTCAGGGAGCGACTTGACAGAGCCTCAGCCATCTCTCGAGTGTAGCTGGGAATCATACATGGTTCACAATCATGCGCCACTCAATGTCCCGGATAATCAGTTTTCTCACGCATATCTTGCTACTACATTAGGTATGGACCAATTAATTTCTTTCATTTATAGTAGAGACAGGTCTTGCTCTTGCTCAGGCTGGTTTCAAACTCCTGACCTCGAGCATCCCACCCGCCTGGCTCCCAGAGTGCTAGGATCACAGGCGTGAGCCACCTCGCCTGGCTTAGCTTTATATAATATATCACTGTATAATAAGCTAATTTAAGCCACCTACGCACTCTTTCCCGCTTTTCTTAAGTTGGAGCACAGCCTATTATGCGTCTAGGTCTCATTTGAAGTCATACTTTTTCATAATGAAAACCTAGGGGTAATGAAGAGAGAGGAAAGAGGTGCGTAGGTGGCTGAATTAGCCTTTATTTACAGTGATAATTATTAATATAAAGCTAAGGCCAGGCGCGGTGGCTCACGCCTGTAATCCTAGCACTCTGGGAGGCCAAGGCAAGCGGATTGCTCAAGGTCAGGAGTTTGAAACCAGCCTGAGCAAGAGCGAGACCCCGTCTCTACTATAAATAGAAAGAAATTAATTGGCCAGAGAGAAGTGTATTTACAGTAGTATCCTGTCAGGAATCCAGTGAGTCAGTCCACTGTAAAGGAGAGTAATTGGACTACAACTGCTTGCTCCAAGATTTCCCCCAAACCACACACACACACACACACACACACACACACACACACACACACACACAATGTTTTCAGACAAAATTGAACCTGAAAATAGACAATGACAGAAGAATCTGAGTCACACTGATGTTTCCTTAATAGCTCCCTAGGTTCTCTCTTGTTGCTTTATCTTTCCAAGTTAAATCCTTGGGTTGCCAGACTTTCCTGAGTTTATGCAGATGCAACACTATTTTTAAGGGAGAATCTGCTAGAAAACTTATTCAGAAGACACTGGTCAAAAATTGCTCATCTACTATATTAATAGACGTTAGTTTATATTATAACAAAATATACACTTTATGCCAATGAGAATGTAATATTCCAGTACATATTTTTTAACAGGCAATTATTTATTCCTTAGGTAATGAAGACTTGTCTTTCAGCAAGGTGTG